ACCATCGAATGTACTCGAACACAATCTTACAGAACATCTCACTACAATCTGAGAATCATACAGTAAATAGTTAATTTGCAACATATCGATCAACAGTCTCAAGCTTCACTATTGCTTTTGCAAATATCAGTCCATCGTCTCAGATTTCATTGTTCCTGTATTTTCATACCAATTGCTTTCCGTTCCTGTTCATTTCTTCTTGATCTTCTACTGAAATACATACATGCTACTTATGTGGATATAAGTAGCCCACATCACAGTACCAGAAGTGCCTATCACTGAAAAGCTACAGACTGAAAAGGATTGACTGTAAGATGTATTGTCAGACTTGTTTAAACTTTTCAATCTCATATTTCCATTTAGTTTACAAAACTTTCAGTAATAATAATAATAACCATTATTACAATCATAAACTTCATGAGCTTTATGTCGAATGACTCTGATTATATTAAGAAGTAGCTATTGAATATACAGAAAAATTTGTTTTGATGTAAGAGTTATTGAAGTCGGTACAGTAAAGCGTTTTAGCAAATGCCAAAGAAATTAAGGGATGGACAACATGACCTTCAGAGAATTTGCTCTGTTTTTCATGATTCGAAATAATGACCACATCAATGACTGGTTTATGATTAGAATGGAGTAAATTACAAAGTATATACTGGTTGTAAACTAGAGAAAGATTTTTCTGTATCATTTGTTGGTTCCACCATTTTGATTATTCTTGGCTAATCCATCCATATGACTATGATTCATTTCTTCTTAAGAGATTTTATATGGTCGTTATCAGTTTCATAAACAACCATAAATGACGTTTACGTTATTGGTATAGATTATTGTAGTTATAAATGAAATTTCGGTGTGGGTCAATCATTAGTACTCAAATAACTGTACAGTATATTTTTCTTACTCTTGGTCCTTATCACTCAATCCATGACAACGTGGAGTAAAACTGACTCATTTCTACTTTCTTTCAATGGCTGATGCACATTACTATGAGACACAATTTCCTCTGGTACTTTTGTGCAATTCCTTGTAACTATTTCGTAACCAAAATCTCAGATAAGTGGATTTCCTGATGACAGAAAGTTTTATACCTATTTTCTTTGCTGAAATTAATAATGTTACAGACGACGATCATTACCGTTGTTTGATAATATCCGAAGGGAATTTGAAGTGGCTTTATTCATTGTCATTGGTTAGTTCCTGTAGTTAAACTCAATCGTATGAATGATTGAGACAAAATTAAAGACTGGTTCATTAGTTTAAGCATATCGTTAATCAGTTTCATGAACACTGATAATCATTAACTATCTTTCATTTATTCGGCTCGTAACAACTATCTGATCACAATGATAAACCACAAGGCTTTTATAAAGCAGTTTAACAAGTGTTTTAACTGAAGAGTACTGACCACAAAGATCAGAATTAAAGCAATCATTCGGCTAACCATTAATTAGTTATAGTCAACTGAATAGGTTACTGATCTAGCCAGTTTCTTTTTACAAATGACTCAACATACTATCAACATCAATAAGTTATCAGTTTATATGCAAATATTATTTCAAAAATGTCTAAGATCAACTAATGGTGCAAACTATGAAATTTAATAACCTCATATAGTGACAAACTTTTTTCATTAGTGAATGATATTATGGTGTAAGCTACTTATATCCACATAAGTAGTATATAACGATAGACAGGTATAGAATGTATTTCAGTAGAAGATGGAGAAGGAAAGAATAGGATTAGAGTATTCTGGCTGGGTGGCGTTGGCTGTGTCGGGTGCTGTCGACGAAGAGGAGCGGCGGGACGTGCGGCTGCTGAGTGGACATCAAATGTAGATGGCTCAGCAAGTTGCTGGAGCTCAGGCGTTTAGCGTCCCAGGGGCCGAGTGGATTTCGGATGTTGGTGCCCCGGCAGGTCGATGGAATATTGAGATGTGCGCCCCTCGGACTTGACGTTTTGATGGAGAGCGTGGCACAGACTGCAGAAAAGAAGAAAGTGGTGCGGCGAGCGGAACCACCTCAAGGAAGACTACTTTAAAAGTAGGACGAGTGTGATGTGAGCTACCTATATCCACATAAATAGCATATAACGATAGTCAGGAATGGAATGTATTTCAGTAGAAGATCAAGAAGAAATGAACAGGAACGGAAAGCAATTGGTATGAAAATACAGGAACAATGAAATCTGAGACGATGGACTGATATTTGCAAAAGCAATAGTGAAGCTTGAGACTGTTGATCGATATGTTGCAAATTAACTATTTACTGTATGATTCTCAGATTGTAGTGAGATGTTCTGTAAGATTGTGTTCGAGTACATTCGATGGTTGCCATTCGTGTTTTCGTTCATTACTATATGATTAGATAAATAACTACAGTATGTGAATTACTGGCCAGTTGTATCATTTCAGAGGTTTATTCGATTAGCTGAATGATCTTTTATTTGATTGGACGGACTGAAAATCTTTGTTTGATTCACTGCTTAGAAATGTCAAATTTGGATGAAACGGTTACCTAGGATTTTCACGTTTCCAGGGATTAGCCTTATAAATTCGATAACTTGTTCATAAATATTTGTAATGCAATTCTTCTTTTTATGATACAAGTTATTAATTCTCACTTCTAGTCTGATCTGATTATATTACGTATCGTTTCTTTTTCTCATATTTATTACTCTCTTCATTATTTATCATTGTGTAGAACACTTCTGATGTTATGATATAAAGTATGTATGCTAATTTTCAAGGATCACTACTATTATGTTTAAGTGCCTTCAAATGCCCTGGTACTGCCGAAAGTGCTCTCACATGATCTTGTGCATACAACCACTGACAGGGAGGTCCTACTCACTACCTTCTCGCGGAATTACTGTTGTTTATGAAATTGAGAGGATGAAAACCGAATGTCCAGCGCCTTAACCGGGTTGGTGGACGCGGATAGTCCACCTGGGGGAGTTGGACAACCATGGTTCCAAACCAATGGCGCATATGGGCAACAGTATCCTGAGGGAACAAATGACATATGAACCAATCGTTGGTCACCAGCTACCATGGAACTGCATTTCCTTACGTCGCTCCACTGCCTTGTGGATTAGACCTTTAGGTCGAAGGCTCCAGGTGTGGTCCCCAAAGAAAACCACCTGCTTCTGTTTGAGTACCCTTGGAGTATCCCAGCACTCACACAAATCACACGATTTGTGTGAGGCATATATTTTTGGTATCTTCTTATACCAATGTTTATGTGTTTAAATAAATAAATAAATTGTGTTCAACTTGTAAGCAGTTGACGAAAGATTGAGAAATCGAGTGAATTTATGTTATTCTATCACATTAATTGTCCTTGCTTTAGTCAAATTTAACTGAACTGCGAATGGAGTTATATTCATCTAATCAATTTTGTGTACACCGACCGACTATTAAGCTTATTATGCAACAAATAGTTCTATGTATTTTTTTCTAATATCGACCCACTAGGGCACGACTGCTAGGTTTTCCTAATGTGTTTAAATCCAGTGTTTGTGAATAAGAAATACATTACTATAATTACTAGAGAAGTTACCTTTTGTTACGTCATTTCATAATTCTCTGTGGATAACCAAAAAATCTGTTTGGCAACACCATGGAGTCTATCTTGAGCTGTTACAAGTGATCTAGTGGTTTCAAAGCTCCTTTTTGACAACTCAAGAAAGAGTTTGTATGGTTAAAGCATGATTCTGAGTTGCTTGAGAAGATTTGTAGCTCAGGTGGATGATCTTGATGGAATTTTGTTCTCTGAGCTGGATGGTTTGGTTGTGGAGCTTTCATCCTTCTTCTGAACGACATCATCAACGCAAACTTCAGGTAGAAGTGAATTGTTTGAATTTCTGTACATGTGGTTTACAGCTTGTCTTGTTGACCTCAAACACGTCACTTCTACCTGAAGTTTGTGCTGATGAGGTAGTTCAGAAGAACGATAAAAGCTACACGACAAAACCATCCAGCCCAGAGAACGAAATTCCATCAAAATCATAGTTCGTTCTCAAATTAATAAAGCCCGTAAGATTATAACTATGTTAGAAAGCTTAGTAGATTTTGATGTTCTAACATCAGTTTTCCTATAGTGATAACGTTGAAGTGTCTCTACAAAATCCCATTAACTATTTACTTGAATTCTTTTTTATTATGATCATATACAGCCTCATAGACAATTTGTAATGACTTGCAAAATTTTTGTTAACAAATTCCCAGAAAGAATTAACGAGATAAAGTTTTGCAAAAATGATATGAGAAAATCATCTGTAGTAATTATGATCCATTTTAACATCACCACGATGCTACTCTGTCTGATTTTTAATACGTTGCTATTACGACGATTCATTATGAATAAAGAACACTGGTTTATGTAGTATTACAAATCTCACTAAAAAGTAAGCACATCCCCTTTTTAATTTTAATACTGACATTTTTACTTTGTAATGACGCAAAGGTATGTTTACTACCAAGCCGCGACCAGTGGAGTTCAACCGGGTCAGTTGTGAGATAGTAACTCACTGGTGACGATGGTGGATGTGACACTTAATTTCATGGATTAGTTGAAGTTAGACATTAATACTATTGGATGCTGGCCGTTTCAGTGCTCTAGTTGTTAAGCGTTTGCACGTACGAGAATGTTAGGTCCTGTGTTGGAACCTCGCGAAGCGGCGGGATCGTGGATGCACACTGTTAAGGAGTGCCATACAAGCACGAGACGGTCATTCAGTGCTTTCAGGTTTTGTATAATGGTCTAATTTCAATTGACTCATGATTTCAACTATTAAATTATCCATTCTGCTGACGGGTAATTTTAATTAAACAGAATAGGAAAATATGTTCTCTAAATAAGTAGTATGTAAATAATTTATAAAAATAAAACGTAAATAAAATTGTTTACAAAATAATGTTAATAATAATATTGCTTAATATAAAACGTTTTACATTATAAAAAGATACAAAACAAACATGGAATGATCCTATTCACTCATAGATTACTTTCCTCCTCTGATGTCCCACTTCTATTACCATTCAAAATATTAGAACAATCTGTTGTATTGGAAGTATTAAGGCATTTCAACAATGACAAATAGCTTAAGAAATTTGTAAGTAACTTTAAATATTCAAAGTACGTTTCATTTGTAGGGTTGTCTTGTTTTGGCGTTTGTATAGTTGGAATCACATATGAAGAGATTGATTGTTGCTGAGTGATGTTAACATTTGATGATGTTGATGATGATGATGTTGATGATGATGATGATGATGATGATAATAATAATAATAATAAGGTATCTGGATTGATCAGTCCTTGTTGTAATGCAATTAAAATATCATTCAAAGAATTCGAGGGAAGATTCGACAATTTAAAGGCGGATGAAGTGAAACATGAAAAAGGGTAAGTAGTAAAAGAATTATGTAAAGTCGATGATGTTGTTGAACATAAAGAACTTGATGTATTTGATGTATAATAAGGATATTTAATCTGTTTCGTAGAATAATCAAGAATTTCATTAGAACATTTCGATGGATCATTTTGATTATCAATATTAAACGTATTGATTTTATCTAAATCATTGACACTAGTATTCATATTGTTTCGTTGATTATAATTCCAATTATGATCCATTGAATGAATTTCAATAAAACGAAATTTCAATGGTTTTCTATTACGATCAGCACATTCATTGAGTAGTCGTTCACATGTTTGATGAAGTAAATCTAATGGGTTTTTTGGTGACTAAAACAAAGAATAATGAATAGGGAATTTAATTTGTAATTGTTATAAATTGTGCCCAGAAACAGATCCCAACAGTTACCATTCATTATTCTCATTGGGATATAACAGTAATAATATATAACTGGATCCTATATGCTGAATCCAGTCTCGTTTGTTGTATGAGTCTTAACGATATTCAAGGTGTTTCTTAACTTCAATGATGGGTTCAAGTTCTAACCATAACGATCAAGTGCTTAAATCATTTAGGTAGCTTAGGCTTGTATAAAGTGATCAATACAATGAAAATGTATTTAATACTGTTCTGATCATATCAATCAGAAAATATTACAAACTGCTGATTGTTTTTGTCAGTCTAGTAGTATCATCACATAAATTCAATTAGCATTATTTACTTGAATCTTTCCATTGATCTTTACGATTTCTACTCAGTGGCTGTTCAGGACTCAGTAGCTAAGTGATTAACGTGATGGCATTTGAAGCGAACGGTACTAGGTTTGAGAACTAGAGCGAACATCAACTATGAGATGTAGGTACATCCAGTTGATAAGTCGCAAATAGGACAAAACGTGCGTCAAACTGGATTCCACTTCTAGTCACTATCCCTCCTCGCTTAACGAGCTTGTGACTTAAGGCTTTATCGAAGCAATCCGTACAGGATGCACATATCTCAGTAATAAGAGACTGATTAATTGAAGTCCTTAACATCAATAGGAAGGTTCAAACAAACAATACCAAGTGAATTTTATCTCATATAGCCTAATAACTTGTGATGAATACTATAAATCATAAATCTATCAGTAGTATACGTGGATATTTTCTTGTTAACAAAATGTATTATGGAATATTTCTTAGATTCACTTTTTTATTACTAAAGTAACACTTGAAATCTACACTGCTAGACTTTGTGATGGTTATATTTTTAGTTTCTATGGTGTGAACTACTTACATAAGTATTAAAATATCAATTGCCTTTTTCTCTTTCTGGAAGTAAATATTAACGAAATCCACCTTGTGAATTTCTTATTAAATAAGATGTCTATATCAAGAGTCTATATACCAAGTAAAAACTGACTAATTTAACCTTAACATGTAGTAACAACCTCATTTGGGCAGTAACATACAAACAAATGGTAAATATATATATGTTCAGTAATTCAGTGGTTATGTGTTAATATAAATTAGGTAATGAGATATGAATATCAGTATCGAACTAATATGGGACGGTTATGGTAGATAAATTCACTTTCTTAGAAGAATAAAAGATTAATAGATGTGATCTGAATTTCATATCATATCAATAATAGAAATATTAGTATGTCAGTTCTCTCATCAGACTTCCCTAAGTAACAATCTACCTATGAATCAAGTCTAATCTAACTACATTATAATTTCAGAAGAGGTTTTGTAGATATTATAGTAATTTCAATAGTTGAGATCATGAGTCGATTGAAGCTAGACCAGTATGGAAAACCTGGAAACAATGGACAGCCGTTTCGTCCTATTGTGGGACTCCTCAGAAGTACGCATCGATGATCCCATCGCCTCGCGAGATTCCAACTCAGGACCTATCTTTTTTTCTTTACTACAAAACAGTCAGTATTGTCCACTATTGCATTTAATATGCACAGCTTATTATATTTTAATATTTCATCATATATACATCATTAACTAATCAAGCTAGAAAAAAACAGAAAGTTTATTTGCATTATCAAGAAAGTAACGGATGATATACTTCAAAGATGAAATAAAACAGAACTAACCGCTTTACTTATGAAGATCAAAGAAAAGTCCCGTTGTTTATATAACTGATCATACTATTATAACTAAAGAATGTTTTTCAGTATAGTAAATCTAGACTGTACTAAGGTCATTCATTGAATATAGATACTATCATATGGTACTATTTAACATTCTATATTTTTTCTGTATAACGAAGTGAAATAAATTCATCAATGTATTTGAGTATTAAAGTGATGAGATTTATGGTGTAGAACCACAGTGATCTAGCTTCAACGGACTCACGAATTAAACTGTTGAAATCACTATAATATCCACAAAAACACCTCTCTCATTATAATCATCATATGCTCACTAGTGACTAGCTTCGAGACGGATTTCCTGGAGTTCTAGTGAGAAGTAGTGACCAGTTGAGTTCAACCGAGTCTGTTGTGGCATAATAACTCATAGAACACAATGGTGAATGTGTCACTTAATTTCGTGGATTAATTGATATTAAACATTAACACCGTTGGATGCTGGCCGGCTCAGTAGTCTAGAAGTTAAGCGTTTGCGCGTGCAGGACCGATAGGTCCTGTGTTGGAATCTCGTGAGGCGGAGGGATGGTGGATGCGCACTTTTAAGTGGTCCCACAATAGGACGAAACAGCCATCCAGTGCTTCCAGGTTTTCCATGATGGTTTAGCTTCAATTAATTGACTCATGATGTCAACTATTGAATGGAAAAATCGTTAAATGTAGGCAGAATATTATTGTATTCCCTTCATAGGTTCTTTGTTAGATCTTCTTATTTGACCGATATAAACATTATTATCATATCTGGAAATCAATAAACCAATAACTATTTATTACATGTGTTGGTTGTCTTTAAGATTGATCAAGAATGATAAGTCGGAAAAAGATAGTAAATTCAAGGATGTTTCTTTAATTCAATGTAACATTCCATGAGATTATTTCCATTCCATGTATCACATATTTTTTTACATTGTTCTTATTCTAAACATAACATTTTATTCAGTTTAAATATCAGTTTACTTTAAATGTGATAGTTGAAATTTGTCAACTCCTTCAAGTTTATAGGTATAAGTTGTTGACAAGTGTTAAACAGTGCACTAAGAAAGGCTTGAAAAAACATGACACTGAACACTATCCAGTGATTAGTCAACTGCAAATTCAATAGTCATATATATATATAGTCCCAATGTTTCGCTCGATAAACTAGTCCAAGCTTCTTCAGAGAAATAAACAACTATAGGTAATTTTAATATGTTTGGTAAGGGGAACCAATGTGTATTGACGAAGCTAGTTCATTAAAGAAAGCACATTATTGTAGTTCTTACTATCACGTTTTAAAAAGAGATCTAAATCTCTAGATTTCTTAATAGTTTCACACATCACCAAACCGATGGTTTGATTCAATTATGAAGCTACTTACTTACTTACTTACTTACGCCTGTTACTCACAATGGAGCAAACGCCAACCGACCAGCATTCTCCAACACACGCTGTCCTGGGCATTCCTTTCTAGTTCTATCCAATTGTTGTTCATTCTTCGCAAATCTGTCTCCATGTCTCAGTGTCATGTGTTCGTTCGTATTCCTCTCCTCCTTTGGCTACGAGGATCTCATGTGAGGGCTTGTCTTGTGACACAGTTGGATGCTTTCCTCAATATGCATCCCACCCACTTCCAGCTCTACTTCCTGATTTCTTCCTCCTTTGGAATCTCATCTGTTCTCCCATACAGTACGTTGTTACTGATAGTGTCTGACCAACGGATCCGAAGTATTTTGCGTAGACAGCTGTTAACAAACAATTGCATCTTCTGGATGATGGCTATCGAATTTCTCCAAGTTCTTGACCCGTACAATAGAACAAACTGTCTTGACACTTGTGTTGAAAATTATGACTTTGATGGTGGTTGACAGATAGTTGTTTTGTGTTTCAGAAGTACTTCAATTGTAGATAAGCTGTTCTTGCTTTGCCGATCCACACATTCACAGCTGCATCAGATCCACCATGTTCATCATTGATGCTGCCTAGATATGTTGAGATTTTTACACCATCCAAATCTTCTCCGTCAAGTGTGACTCAATCGTTGCATGTTGTGTTGTATCGGAAAATCCTGCTTTCTTCTTTGTGTATGTTGAGACTGACTGCTGATGAGGCTGCTGCTACACTGGTCGAATTCTTCTGCATTTGTTGCTGCGTGTGTGATAGAAGAGCTAGATCGTCTGCGAAATCTAGATCGTCTAGTTGCATCCTCGATGTCCATTGTATCGCATGCTCCCCCCATCCCCAAGATGTCGACGTCTCCATGATGCAGTCAATCATTAGGTGAGAGAGAAAGGGTGAGAGTAAGCAAGCTTGCCCGACACCGATATTCACATCGAACGAGTCTGTGAGCTGTCCACCAAGCACGACTTTGCAATTTAATCGATCATGAGAATTCCGTATGATGTTGACCATGTTCTGAGGCACGTCGCAGTATGGAAGAAAGCTCCATAGTATTGTCCTGTTCATGCTATCAAATGCTTTCTCGTAGTCAATGAAGTTGATGTAGAGTGATGAATTTCATCCAATTGATTGTTTTATAATGATCCATGATGTTGTTTATTCATTAAGTTGTACATTTTTGAATAATTCTGTCAAATTATTCTTTGTAAAATCTACTAATTAATAGTGTTTTTTTTACACTATGGTATGTTTGTGTTTGTTTTGTTTTTTTTCCATAGAACAATAATAACCTGTACATTAATATTTTGATATGATCAAATCACACCAGCATGTTACACTAATGCTGACCTCTATGATGATAAAGTCAGATATTGCTTTTATCAACAATCATAGTAATAATGAACATGACATAATGACTTCATAATAAATCATAACAAATCTTAATGTTTTATGGTCTACGATAATTATGATAGTGATGATGATTCTGAAGTGAGGTGAAGTGAAGTGACATTATCTACAAAACAAGATACAGAAACAGCGAGAGAGAGAGAGAGAGACAGAGAAAGAGAAAAGAATCATGACAACTTGGTCATTCCAATGTTATGAATGATATATGTATGTATGTATGTATGTACGTGTATGAATACACTTAGATAATTATGACCTTGTGATCACACCATAGAAAAGAAGTTACTGGAATCATTATTATTTCTATCACTGTAGTTTAGGGTAAAAGAAAACTAGATTCTGATGATAAGAACAGTAGTTAATTGATAAGTTTTCTAAAATAAAATTGAATGTGGTGAATTCGAAAATATCTTAGCAAACTTATTAGGTACAAATATGATACCCTTTTGAAAAATAGACTTAATTAAACAATAGAAGATAGATTATAACACTAATTATAATCGGTAGTAAAAGAGGAACTAATTATATATCGATTGATATCATTAGATGATTGATGTTAGACCACCATTGAAAACTTAAAGTTAGACATTAACACCTATGAATGTCGACTCAGTGGTCTAAATGTTAGATATTCGCGCGCGAGATTGATAGGTCCTGGGTTGGAATCTCACGAGGCGGCGGAATGGTGGATGCGCACTGATGAGGAGTTCCATACTAGGATGAAACAGCCATCCAGTGTTTCCAGGTTTTTCATGGTGGTCTAGGTTCAATTGACTCATGAATTCAACTATTAAATTACTTAAATCTCCACAAAACCCTTTCTGTTAGTATTTTGAGTTAATATAAATTGTTGATTAAGATAATCATTTCAAATGTATGATATTTAACATTCACTGACTGATATACATCAGCAAATAACTTCATAATACACAAAACTACATAGTGGACAGCATTGATTGAACATAAAATCTCTATATAACACATTAGATATAATCTATTCATGTTGAATTAATATCCTTCAGTTTGTTAATCTATATCAGAGGCTACCTTACTGAGGAGGACTCAAATAGAAAAAAGGTAAGTCTTCAAGGTTAATGTAACATTTTGAGTTGATAGGGGGTATTACAACAGACCAAAGTTTGAATAAAAAATTTTTTTAAATCCACCTTATATAATCTATTTATTAGCTAAACATTAGACTAATCTATCATTGACACAATTGGAATGTTTGAATTTATTTAATTAGGGGATTGTCAATGTAAGTTTCTGATGAATGATATGATATATCAGAATAGGTATTAGTTAACTTTTTATACTAATTAATTACAGGCGGCCTGTTTGAATATCTAGGCTACCTGTTCCTGCCATCTGGATATTTCAACAAGTTATCTGTAATTTTGTTTGTTTTAACACATCATTATGACTATTAGTCGCATAACCTATTCAGGAGCGTTTGTGACAAGTTTGCGACATTTTGCTGTACAAGTTACAAAAGAGCCCAATCAGAGATATCTTAATTGCTGGCAATATGTATCGGAAAGAATGTCGATTCCTGAACTGCTAACATCTGACTGGCGACCACTCAAATATTTATCGTCAGGATCGATCAAGAAATAAGAAACGGAAACTTGTTGAAATAATTTATACCGAAAATATCGATAAACAGAGAATACTCGTTGGAACTAGGAAGGTTCAGATACTTAACATTCAACTGGATGGTACTTTTAACAGTTACAAAACAATAAGTCATACATGATACTAAGAACTATTTAACACGGTACTATTTTATTATGAAATCTTCATTTCAATCTATAGAAAATATTCAATTCAATGGAGAATATAATTTAGTCTAAGCTGGATAAATCATATGGCGAAAGAGTAATGATTATTATTCTCAGGTAATTAGTCAATGATCGTTTATAGAACACTATATACAAATAGTAATTTTAATAGTTAGTAGACTTTACATAAACTACCCACCCCTTCAGGATCTATATGCTTTCATCCCAGGAATTTTGTACATTTATCGAACAAACGTAAATTCGTTTCCAAATAAATGCTATTGAAGTACTAACGAAGGACCTACTGTAATAGCCTCAGTATAAAATGGTAACTATTTTTGATGTATTCATGTATTCGTTAATTGAGTAAATAATATCAATAATTATATTCATCTAAGAAATGAATCCAATAACGTGGTAACCTGTCAATATTTTATTATAGATGGTTATGATCAGAGAGGAGTTTTGTAGATATTATAATAATTTAATAGATGAATTCATGAGTCAACTTACTAAATTTTCATCAACGTAATGAAACGTAATTAATAATTGCATTGATGAGTCAATCGAAGATAGACCACCATGGGAAACCTGGACGCACTGGACGGCCGTTTCATCCTATTTTGGGAATCCTCAGCAGTGCGCATCCAAAACCTCACTGAAGACAATGGTGTATGTATCGCTCAATTTCGTGGATTAGTTGAACCTAGACATTAACACCGTTGGATGCCAGCAGGCTCAGTGGTCTAGTGGTTAAGTGCTCGCGCGCGAAACCAGTATGTCCTAGGTTGGAATCTCTCAGGGGGCGAGGTCGTGGATGCGCACTGCTGAGGAGTCCCACAATAAGACGAAACGGCTGTCCAGTGCTTTCAGATTTTCCATGGTGGTATAGCTTCAACTGACTCATGGTCTTAACCATTAAACAATAATACTAAATCACTTTGACTATAGAATAAATTGAATAGTATAAAATTATAAATAACTAAACAATAAATTACCTGATTCTCTTCATCTATATCAATTGATAAATGATTATTCATTAAGTGTATAGATTTCATTGATGAAAAAGCAACGAAAAAAAAGATAAACAAAAACAAAAACAAAAATAAGAACAAACAAACAAACAAACAAACAAACAAAATTAATTGCTGATTTATGTTTATCAATGATAAATAGAATGTAATTCTATTAAGACAATATACATCTATATATAGATGTTCTTATAAATCGGTTCAACTATACAGTTTCCATTACGGATAATTTAAATGTAAACCAATTATATTACTGAAATATATTTTACTTTATTTTGATTTGTTCAAATAGAATTTAATCTATTTGTATAATGAGTTAAACACATATGAACATTATTACAACATTCTATAAGGAATGAAAATTTGTCGCTTCTTTTTTTTTGTTTGTTGTTGTGTGGATTATACCTTAGTAACCAATAACAAATTAGGTAGTGTTATTTCAAGATGTTGATGATACACAACAATAGATAGTGGTTCATAGAGCAGTAATGTTTCAAACGACTTAGTTGAGATGGGAAAATCAAGATACTCCGATATAACACAACATGCAACAATCGAATCACACTTGACGGAGAACATTTGGAAGACGTAAAAACTTCAAAATATCTGCGCAGTATCATTAATAAACACGGTGGATCTGATGTAGATGTAAAGGTGAGGATTGGTAAAGCAAGAACAGTATATCTACAATTGAAGAACGGTTGGAACTCAAAACAAATGTTTGTCAACCACCACAGAAGTCATAATTTTCAATATAAATATCAAGACAGTTTGTTCTACTGTATGGGGCGAGAACTTGGAGGAATACGAAAGTCATCATCCAGAAGATACATGTGTTTATCAACATCCATTCGTCTAACTAGAGTCTTGGCATTATAGCTGATGTCAGTTCGTGATTAAAACCCGTAATCTAATTCCTAACCTTAACCATCAACCGTAAATCATAATTCTAATTCCTCACGCTGGTTTATAACCATTATTTAGCAATAGTAGTTAGGTGAACATTCTCAAAGTTACTTCAGCGTTAAGGTTAGGAATTACATTTCGACTTTTCATCACGAAATGACATCAGCTATGATGCCAAGACTCTATTTAGACGAATGAGTGAATGAATTTCATGCCAAAATCCAAGACCTGTTATCCTAAATCTCATTTGTTCTTCCATTAATTATAATTTCTCCGTAATCATTAATTTCACTACTTTTAACCAGTTAAGCATTCATAGCACGCAAATTCAAAAATAGTTTTAGCAATTTCGAACATAACTTTGAATAAGAATGTTTAGATCATGAGGAGTTTCACAGTAGGACGAAACGGCCGTCCAGTTCTTCCAGGTTTTCCATGATGGTCTAGGCTTAATTGATCTCAACTATTGAAATTACTGTAATATCCACAAAACCCCTTCTGATATTAATCAATATGTGCTCACTAGTGACTGGCTTCAAGACGGGTTTCCTGGAGTTCTAGTGAGAAGTAGTGACCACTGGAGTTCAACCGGGTCAGTTTTGAGATAGTAACTCACTGAACATAATAGTGGATGTGTCACTCAATTTTGTGAATTACTTGAAGTTAGACATTAACACCGTTGGACGCTGGCCGGCCCAGTGGTCTAGAAGTTAAGCGTTCGCGCGTGCAGGACTAATAGATCCTGTGTTGGAATCTGGTGTGGCGGGGTCGTGGATGCCCACTGCTGACGATCGCCATCCTACGACGAGACGGCCATCCAGTGCTTCCAGGTTTTCCATGGTGGTCTATCTTCAATTGACTCATGATCTGAACTATTAAAAATTTGATTGCCAGAAATACACAAATAGACCACAGCATCGATATCATGAAGGGAATAAGTTGTTTGAGAAGAAATAATTTGCCAATATTACAAACTTCGGGTAACTAATAAAGAGTTTGCATGCATACACACCACCAACCACAAAGAAACACACTATCTATGTTACCAAAGGTAAAAAAATGGTACATGTTCGACCCTTGGTGCACAAGTCTAATTTGTTGCTGTGGTTGACAGAAGGAATTTTAAATGAGCAAGTGGGATGTTTTCAGTCTCGTTTACAAAAATATAGTTGATGATTTAAAGTTATTTTTAAACTCTATTAAAGTGGAAATTCTTCTGAAAGTAACCACATTAGTGGAGACACATTTAAAGTACTAAAAATTGTGTATTTCTCAAATAAAAACATAGTCAAGTACTGTTATTACATAGGTATATCATTTATACACTTATTCAGTCCTTTATTTATTCACTTACTGTCTTATTGAACGAAGAACTCAGTTGGTTATTCATTTACTTACTAACTCCTGATCATCCATCTAAACAGTCAGTCACCTAGTAACTCACTAATTAATTGGCTGACTATATCTTTGTTCACAGACAATTTGATGCTTCTGAGATAAATGAATACAAAGAACAAACGATAATAATTTCTGTATAAACAGGTAGAACTTTTGTTTTTCTCATTAATTAGTTATAAAATGATGCAAAAAATCAGTCAGTCATCAGTCATTATTAACACATAGCTCGACACAGATGAAACTTACCCAGGATACTTTGTCAGACGACAGGGTAAATATAAGTGAAAAAATTGAAAAAAAAATGACTGAAATAATTTAGTGACGATGAGAAAAAGAAAGACTAAATACCAGGAATGTAGTTCGAAAATACAGATTGGGAAGGTTAAGTTGAGCATCGGTGAGTATGCCTATGTTCTAAAACATATAGGAGAGTGAATATTTGATCAGTGTGTACACCGGTAGATCTGAAAGGAGACTTATTTTCCCGATCATGCTCATCAATAGTCGTAGTCTAGTATGAGAAGATTTTAGAGACTATGTCCGTCAATCTGATCCGTTTTCGGTCAGCATAACAGGGCCTTTCTTATAAAATGGGACGGCAAGCAGTCAAAACCAATGAAATGGGGTTGTATTCACCTCTGAAACTCTAACTAGTATCTCGTCAGTTTAGCTACTAAGACTGGACCACTATCCTTAAAGTTCTCCAGGGTCGACTAACCAGAGCCTGATGTTCTCTCTTTCTTCCTGTTGGATATGACCTTTGTTATGAAGAGTTGATGGAATTGTGTCAATTTTTCAGTTAAGTTGTTCAGATGCAGTGGGTAAATAGGGAGTAACTGGAAACCAGTTAATTTGTCCCCTAAAATGTTTTCTTCATCTTTCAATCTATTCAACCTTGATGCTTTTTCTTGTTTCCAAAGTGATCTTTTGAACATCTGCCTTTTTATTACCTATTTCCTTGATGAGTATGGATATTTGTCCATTTTCGTCCATAGCTTTTATCCTTTCCATCTCTTTCACTTTCGTTCCCGACCATTGCTCATATTCATCTAGTAAGATTTTTGTAAGTCTACGTTTTGGTAGTCATTACTTTTTATAGTTCTTTGAGTCTAACTCAATGAGTTTTTAAGCATTTGTCAATTTAGTAGATGGTAACTCAATTTGCAATTCTTATCTAACCATTTGATTTAGGCTTTTCCAGATATGATCGGTAAATTTATAGCTTTTTGCACATCTCTCTGGTCTTCCTCAAGATTAACTGTTAATTTAGTTATACAGACCCATGTTTCTTTCAGTACTAAAATCATTTGATGAATAACAAATTGATTAACATTTAAAATGATTAACTAATCATTGTCATGTATGGTTAAAGTTATCCAAATGCAAATAATACTTAACTATCATTCTAAAAAAAAAACTAAATTACGGTATGTAAGCATATCAACTCTATGAATACAACACTTAAATAAGGTATTTCTACTGTTATCACTTCCTCAGTCTATAATTGTGTTTATTTATTTATTTATTTTAACACATAGATATTGGTACAGGGAGGCACCAAATAGATATGCACCACATAAATCATTCGATTTGTGTGAGGGCTGGGATACTACCTGGGTGCCCAAACCGAAACAAGTGGTTTTCCTAGAAGGCCACACCCGATGCCTTCTACTTAAAGATCTGATCCACAAGGCAGTGGAGCGACGTAAGGAGCTGCAGTCCCATGGTAGCTGGTGACTAACGATTGGTTCATGCGCCATTTGTTCCCTCAAGGTACTGGAGCCTATGTGCACCATTGGTTTGGAATCATGGTTGTCCAACTCTCTTAAGTGGACTCTCTGTGTCCATCAACCCGGTTAAGGCGCCGGACATTCGGTTTTCATCCTCTTAATTTCGTAAACAACAGTAATGCCGCGAGAAGGTAGTGAGTAAGACTTCCCTGTCAGTGGTTGTATGCACGTGGCCATGTGAAATCATTTGGAGAGGGAGAGCTTATTCTCCCCACTCTCAGCCGTACCAGGGCATTTGGGGGCCTATATTTGCGTGAAAGTTTTCATATCTACGGCCTTAAATGAATATACTTGTAAGTTTATTCTTCATAAGTCTCCTCAGATACTGGTTGAACTCAAAACAACTGTTAACCAATATCAAAGTCAGAATCTTCAATACGAACATCAACACAGTCCTACTGTACGGAACTGAAACATGGAGAACTACTACAACCATCATCAAGAAGTTATAATTATTTATAAACAGTTGTCTACACAATATACTAATCATCCATTGGCCGGATACCATAAGCGATAGCCTACTATAGGAGAGGACAATCCGGGTTCCAGCTAAAGAGGAAATTAGGAAAAGACGATGGAAATGGACAGGACATATATTACGGAAATCATCAAACTGCATCACGAGGCAACCCGTAACTTGGAATCCTGAAGGGAAGCGGAAAAGTGGAAGGCCAAAGAACACATTACGTCGGGAAATAGAAGCCGATATGAAAAAGATGAATAACAACTGGGAAGAACTGGAAAGAATTGTCCAGGACAGGGTTGGACGGCGAGGGCTGGTGGGTGGCCTATACTCCTTCACGAGTAGTAACAGGAGTAAATAAGTAAATGAGTCACCTCAGACGTTTTTATGCATTAAGTGTTACGGATAATGAATGAATTTAGAATTTCGGATCGATATTTGTATTTATAAACTTATGTATTCGTTACAGC